GAGAGAGAGAGAGAGAGAGAGAGAGAGAGAGAGAGAGAGAGAGAGAGAGAGAGAGAGAGAGAGAGAGAGAGGCAGGGAGACAATTTCACCACAACTGAAAGATGCTAACTGCTTCTACATATGTGGATATAACTTATATAACTTATAATAAGTTAAATAAGAGCATTCATTAATAATTCCAACCACACTTGATGAGGGCTAAGAGAATGGTAAAATGACCTGTAGGTACCACAACAAACGAAGCATAGAGGAGCAGAATGAAACTGTCTGACATGCCAAGATCAGCCATGTGGAAGTGTTTGACATGCTGAGTCCCTTTGGTAACCTGGACCGGGAAAAGAATAGCCGAAGATCGACCATACACATTCGGACTCACTCCCTGAGTCCATGTTGATGGAGGAACACCACAACCGTGGTGGTTCGTTTACCTATGGCAAGCTTGGAAAGCGGTGAATCGCTCTGCAGGGCTGAAGCAATGCTCTGAATAGAGCGTGTTGTAAGAGCACAGCCTTCAAGACATAGATGCACCAGCACTGCCAAAAACAAAGCAGGAACACCCACAAATCACAATACAGTGAGAACTTTTATGCATTTCATTTCAGCACTTCCCCGAATGCAAGGATAATGGAATAGAATATATAGTAATATACCACACAGCCCATGTGGCTGAGTGGTACACATATGCGAGACTCTTAATAAACACATTGTGAGTTCAAATCCTTATGGATTATCAGATGAATACAATAACGCTAGGGGCTATACCCTTTGAGAAAAAAAAAAGGGAAAGAATACCGGACGAGCTTTCAATAGAGAACTCGTTTAAAGCAACATTTGACAACGTAGATGAAGTTCAAAGAAAGACGAAAGTACCACCACCTTGTGCTTAACATTTTCGCCATAAAGACATGTTGAGCGTAAGGAGAGTAGGAGATATCCACACAGCTGCAGAACATTAGAACGCCGCTGCCGAGTGATGTAAAAGACATGGAAAAGGGGGAAATTTCAGGGAGGATAACTCTGGCAAAGTTGCATTGCAATTACAAACAATCAGGCCAAGCCCGGTGAAGCTATGAACAGCAAATGAAGACTTAACTAGGCAGTCGTTGGCTGCTTCGACTCGACATCTACCGGCTTCGAACCCATTGGAAATAAATTAAATTATGCCTGAGGAGCAGAAAGGTTTGGCCAGAGTGAGTAGACACGAAGATAGATACTATCCATTCATCTATATAAGTTTTTCCTTTGTCTTATTGCATACAAGACAGCTCTCAATCTCTGTATCATCCATTCAGTTTGTGTGGCATTCCACCTATCAGCCGTCTGGCATGCGATCATACTTATAGGGGATACTTTGAGGCGGAGGATGGCAAGATAGAACCAACTACCTACCTGCCAATGATCCTCCACGTGCCCGTCTCACTTGCTCTGAGACATACCTACTCTGTTCCCACCTTGATCCTCCTCTTGCTGCTGCTTCTCCTCTTGTAACCAAGTGGCAACTGGACCAACTTAAAACATCGGGTATGACAGTTAACGAGTTAAAAGAGAACATCCCACCCTGTGTCTATTCATTCAGCCCAAAGTCTGACGGGAAGAGCGACGGCAGGATGGGAACGCCTATGGGTACGGTACAGATTTGGAACCAGCGACATGATCGTCATTGTAGGCACTTACAAAGGGATGTGCAAAGCAATGGGTCTGGGGTAGCCTATGCTTTAGCAGCGACTGCTACAGGACCACCACCAAAGTGGGGGACCGATAAGGCCAGCACATGTTTACATCCGCTAAGGCATCCCCACTCCCTGGAGATGTTTAGTATGTGCCACACAATCAATGGGTGTGGAGTAGCACATGCACTAGGAGCAACTCCGATGGCGCCATAATGGGCCACCATAAGTCAGTGGGACCAACGCAGACAGCACATGTCACACCTTGTGGGGCCCCTTCATCCCCAGTGAGCCAGGGTCTCTCTCGTCCACCAGAATATGTGGAATAAAGTTCAATAAACCCCTTTAAAGTGGGACTGTCACCATACAGGTAAGATTTTTTTGCAGTCATGCTTACCCTTGCTTGATTTCAGAAGTGAGGCAATTTGTCTCGATGCGGCGTCTGTTAGACGATTGCCTGAAATGTCAAGGGACTCCAATCGTGTGAGTGTCACAGAGCAGCGACAGATCTGGAACACCACATCCCAAACATGATAAAAATGGTATTAGTAATTTAGTATTGTCAATAACATGAAATTCTTTCCCTTTTGGCTCTTTATTTCTTTCCAAATAAGGACAAAGTCTTGGCATTTCAACCCCATTTGTAGCTTTCGGTATGTCACCCTTTCCCTGCTGTATAGTTCTGATCTAAGCAGATGACATCCAAATCAATCTCCGGGAGACTCGGGCAAGTGGAATTCATGAGTGGAATGAAAAGATTATTGCTCAGCAGAGCACAGGAACAGAGATGAGAACCAACCACCCACAAAATGAATAGACTTATCCATGAGTTTAGCCCTACACGAGAAATGGATCGAAATTCACCAATTGATACATGTATGAAATTACTATGAAGTAGTATGAAAATAGTCCTACAACGAGAAACGGATCGAAATTCATTGATTGGATACATGTATGAAAGTACTATGAGCCTAGCCCTACAACAGAAAGAGCGAATACAACCACGTCATGAGGACGAGCAATCGGCTTCCCGTACCCCAGCCGTATGATTGTGTGGTACAACTGATTATCAGTTCGATACCGGCTGGAGGCAATAATCATGTTTGGCGCATTTTCTACCCTTGGAGAAAATGCACAACCCCTTTTTTTTTAATAAAGAAAACGCATTTTTGTGGTGCTCCCCACCAATAGACCGGAGCACCCAGGACTCTAGCTAGGAGGGGTTGCTCGTATCATCTCTCTTAACAAGGAGACTGGCTTAATTAAAAAAAAAAAAAAACTTGAAGAAAACGCATCGCCTTCCACGCCCTGGTCCAGGGCAGCTCTCAGGTGACATGGATAGAGCACGCAAGCACACGAGACGGACAAGCATCCGGGACCATAAGAAACCAGTTTACTTCCAGTCGTCAGTCGCAACCCCATTTACCCATCTCAGCTTTATCATACCGACCTGACCAACGCGCTGAACTCCAGAAGCAATGTCCCGCTTGCAAAGAGGATTAAATTAAACACCCGTGGACTTGTTTTTTTATGCAGCTGCTTGCAAAGCCCCCACAAGGTGCAGATCTCTTTCATTCATAGGAAAAACAAAGGTGGACAGAGAAACACAAACACATGGATAAAAGGAGGAGGAGGAGGAGGAGGAGGAGGAGGGGTGATGGTTGTGGTGGAGGGGTCCTAGGACTCTCTCTCTCTTCTCTCTCTCTCTCTCTCTCTCTCTCTCTCTCTCTGTGCCATGCCCACGAACCACCGCGCACCTACTCACTCTCTCTACCACGCGCCTACTCGTGCACCTACTCTCTCTCTCTCTCTCTCTCTCTCTCTCTCTCTCTCTCTCGCTCTCGCTCTGTGCCATGCCCACGAACCACCGTGCACCTACTCACTCTCTCTACCACGCGCCTACTCGTGCACCTACTCTCTCTCTCTCTCTCTCTCTCTCTCTCTCTCTCTCTCTCTCTCTCTCTCTCTCTCTCTCTCTCTCTCTCTCTCTCTCTCT